AGGGTGCCTCGCAGTCTGGAGGGGCTGTTGTGGGACTGAGGGTTGCATGAGGGATGAGGTAAGCACAGGATCCAAATCTGAGCACCAAGGGGGTGAAGTCCCTGACCCTCCAAGTCGGCTGCCCGTTCCAGGTGGGGATACACCCTGCCCTGTCTCCCATTTGCCCTCCCTGGGCGGCTCTCCCTGGCTGGCTTTCGCCCTGCAGCTCTTTCTCTGGTCTATTTTTAGTGCCCTACCAGTGCCACTGAAGAGAATCCAGCACCTCACTTGGAATCATGAAGTCCTTTAGCCCCCTGCATCTTATTCCCTGTGAGCTGTATTCCGGTGTTGCCGCCTCTCGGCCATCTTGGCACACCCCTCTTTTTCCCCATTTTTAAGATGATTTGCCCCTGTGTATTTGGAGTTTTTTAGCTTAAATATCACATCTCCAGAGGAATATTCCCTGTTTACCTTATTTAAAGTGGGTTCCCCTGGTTCCCTATCTCAAACTAGAGTTTCTTCCTAGCAATTATGACAATCAGTAATTCTTTGTTTTACTTGATTTTCTTAGCTTGCCTTACTAGATAATAAATAACTGGATGAACCATATCTGTTTTATTTACTTTTATGTCCTGAACAGATATATTATTAGATAAAAATAATAGATAATTGCTTTTAAAATTGCTCTGATTATATTTGAAGTTGAAATATGGTCAAACATTTATTAAGCAATTATTAAGCAGCTACCAGGTGTAAAGCATTGTGTTAGGAACAGGAATTCCAGAAATTAAAATTTCAGTCTCTGCACTCAGTGAACTTAGAGAGTGTGATGGGGTAGACAGACAGTTAAAATGCAATTAATTCTTTCATTTGACAATGCTATTGCATGCTGCCGTGTTTCAAGCCCTGTGCTATGTGCTGATACAGTTACTGAACTTAGGATACTTAGTCTGTTAAGCAATGCAGAAAAGTAAATAATTACAATTTAGTGAGATAAATCCTATGGTAAGGTTAAGCTTAGGATTCCATGGGAAAACAAATTTGTGTTATGTGCGGAAGTTAGAGATTGAAGTGCTTTGAAGAGAAAAATTACAAAAAGGTTGTTGCATAGTGTATACTCATTTAAAACCAAGCAGAATCAGGCTGCCTAGTTTAGACTCCTAGTTTCCACTTAATGGTTGTGTGGCCTTGCACAAGTTACTTAACCTCTTTAAGAGTCAGGTTTTTTGTCTGTAAATTGCTTACCTCAGAGAATTGCTGTGGGATAAAATAAGGTAATATGTATGAAGTACTTAGCATTTGCAATGTCTGACCGTACTAAGCACTTGTAATGAATTATTAATATTTTTGCAGGTCACCTTATATGTAATGACAAACTTTACTTTGCCAGCAGCCTTCTCCCAAACATTTTTTCCAAATCAGTCTCTAGCAACCTGATAGTATCCCTCTATCCAAAATATAAACGCCAATCATATAAATGCTCACATGCACAGTGCCTTTGGGAAGAAAGTAAACATGGGAAACTTTCACCCCCAAGGTCCCCCAAAAAATTAATACTTAAAGTAATTGAAGGTATGTGATTATATTAGAAATTGTTCCTAGAACCCCAAGTTGAGGGAAACATGGATGAAATAATTTTTTAGATAATGTGATAAGCTCTCGGCTTACAGCTTCTGTTTTTCTCTATGTTAAAGGTTGTGAGGGAGAGGTAAAAGGTGATATCACGGTAAGTGTGAAGACACTCATAGATAGATACAAAGGACAAAGTATCATCTTTGCTCTTTTTTGTCATTTCTGGCCATTGCTCTTCCTTTTCTCCAGAATCCTCCAAGTATCTTAAAGCACATGCCATCAAAATATACTGCTTACCCTGCTTTTCCTTACTGTAGTCATCTATAGATCCTCTGTGTCATTCCTTGAAAGTTTTAGCAACTTGGCAAGCTTTTGCCTCCCTACCACAATTCTAACAATCATTCTTTGTGATTTTAATGTCTGCACAGGCCATCCATCCAACCTAGTGGTCTGTCATTTTCTTGAACCTCACCCATTCACATCACCTCAACTATTACCAATTACTCCTTTGCCTCCAAAATCTGTTTCAGTCATCTCAATCTCTGATCTATATCTCCTATTTTCCATGTCATTTCCTCTGAATTCATCAGTTTTAAGGTGCTACCACGCCCTCCAATCCATTTATCTTATTACCCTTTTTCTGTTAATCCCATCCCTCATGTTCTCACTTCTGTTCAAACTGAGCTTCGCACTCCCTAGTCTATCATTATCATTCCTCAGAATATACCCTCAAACTTCTTGCAACCAATCTCCGCCCTTCATAGCAACCACTGTTATAATTTCTATCGTCAGAGGTAATTTTTCATGTTATTCTTATTGTTGCATGGTATATCATTGTAAAAATATGTCAATTTATTTATCCATTCTCCTATTGATAGGCATTGGGTTGTTACATTTCTACCATCAATGCATAAAAGTTTCGGTTTCTCTACATCCTTACCAACAGTTCTTATTTTTTGTTTTGTTTTTTAAATAATAGTCATTCTAATGGGTGCGGTGTGGCATTTCATTGTGGTTTTAACTTGCATTTTCTTAATGCAATTTAACATCATTAATGATTAATGATATTGAGCATCTTTTCATGTGTTTGTTTGCATTTGTGGATATATCTTCTTTAGAGAAATTCTATTCAAGCCTTTTGCCCATATTTTTAAATCAGGTTGTTTTGTTGTTGTGGACTTGTTGGAGTTCTTGATATCAATCCTTATCAGATATATGATTTGGAAATATTTTCTCTTATTTTCTGTGTGGCCTTTTCACTCTGTTGATAGTGTTCTTGGATGCACAAAAGTTTTTGATTTTGATGAAGTTCAATTTATCTATTTTTCCTTTTGTTTGTGCTTTTAGTGTCATATCAAGGAATGATTGTCAAACCCAATGTCATGAAGCTTTTCTTATGTTCTGAGTTTTGTTCTGGTTCTTATATTTGGATATTTGATCCACTTTGGGGTAATTTTTATATGTGCTGTTAGGTAAGAGTCCAACTTCATTGTTTTGTAGTATCTAGGTATCCAATACTATTTTATATAAAGATTGTCCTTTTCTCATTAGAAGGTTTTGGCATCCTTGTGGAAAATCATTTGACCATATATAAGAGGGTTTATTTTCAGGCTCTGTAATCTCTTCCATTAGTCTATGTGGCCATCTTTATGCCAATACCATACTGCTTTGATTACCATAAATTTGTAGTAAGCTTTGAAATAAGGAAGGGTGAAACATTCCATTTTGGTATTTTTTTAATATTATTTTGCCTATTCAGTTTTCCTTGACATTTCATATAAATTTTAGAATGGATTTTTCTATTTCTGCAATGAAAAAAATTGGGATTTGAAGGGATTAAATAGAATCTGAAGATAGCTTTGAGTAGTGTGGACATCTTAACAATATTTTATTTTAATTCATGAACATGGTATGTCCTTACATTTATTTGTGTCTTTTACACAATTACAGTATAAATGCAGTGATGTTTTACAGTTTTTGGTGTATAAGTCTTTTACCTTCTTAGTTAAGTTTATTCCTAAGCATTTGTATGCTATTGTAAATTGAAATGTTTTATTTCCTTTCTGGATTGTTTATTATTCATGTATAGAAATGCAGCTGGTTTATATGTGCTGATTTTGTATCCTGCAACTTTGCTGAATTCATTTATTAGTACTGGTTTTTGTGGAATCTTTGGAGTTTTCTAAATATAAGATTATGTCATCTGTGACTAGAGTTAATTTTACTTTTTCCTTTCCAGTCCAGATGCCTTTTTTTTTTCTTGCCTGCTTACTCTGGCTACAACTTCTAATATTATGTTGAATCAAATGGTAAAAGCAACTTCTTATCGTGACCTGGGGAAATTCTTGAAGGAGATTGCTTTGGGAACTAAAAAATCTTCTCCCCCACCTCTGGCACTATATCACTACGTTCTACTTACCTCATGTGTTGGACGACTTGGAGATCTATAGTCTATCACCTGGAAGTGTATATAGTTCCCTTAATCTGAGCTATTCAGAGTAGAATAATATTCTTGCCAGGAGAGGTCTTTAGAAAGATGGTTAGCAGTAACCTATGGCACTCAAAATTCCAAAAGAGTTTTTACCAACCATCTCCTAACCCCATGCATTCTAAGGAGGTCCTTTTGGAAGTTTCTTTATGAGTGATTTGTAGGCTTGCCTTTTCATTTTTCTCATTTTCTAGCAAATAATTATTGAATCATACACACATACACATGCACACACACACACACATATACCACACACACGCACACACACACATGCACACACACACACACATAGTCTTTCAAGGACAAAATGAATTTTTTGAAACAGTACAGCTTAAACTAGAGAACATAAATTCAAGTGTCTGAGGGCAATCAGAAATAAATAAGAAATTTAAGAAAAATAAGAATGGCAGGAATGGGGCAGGTGTTTGGAACTATGTGTGATTGAGAGCCCAGATTTGCCAGATCTTCCAAATTTTGAAGAGAAACTGGAAATGCACATTTTTTTGTAAGTTTTCTGAATTTTTAGCACAGTTCCAACTTAATATGACAGCCAATTTTAAACTTGTGGTCCAAAAGACAAATAAAAATATACAATATTTTCTTGAATGCCTCATAATTTTCAAAGCTACTTCTTTCATCAATACAGAAAATGGCATAGTTTTTTTAGAAAAGGCTTTTTCCATGGCACAGTTTGTGAGGTGGGAATAGGTATGCAGACCTGCCAGAAATTAGAAGGGGCTACATAGGAGAATCTTCTCTTTGTTGCAAGAGACTTGGATAAAGTTCTGAAATGCCATTTACAAAGAAGTAAGTCTTTGCCAACTGCCTGTTTAAAAAATTTAATTTGTTTTAAGTAAAAATTTGAAATATGAAAACATTATTATATAAAAATGCATCATTTTGAAACTATTTCCTAAACTTACTACCTATTGCTGTTACCTACTTTATGTCTTAAATATAGAGCTTTTGAGGAAAAACGAAAAGAACAAGAAGAAAAAGAGCACCAAATTAGAGAACAAATACTTCAACAAAGAAGACAGAAGTTTGAAGAAGTTACTGAAAAATTCCAGCGTGCCCATATTCCTCTTTCACAGAGGAGGAAAGCAGGTGCCTTAATTTCTAGAATAATATGAGAACAAAAATTAAAGTTTTAATCTCATTTGACTTGAGTATACAATAAAATGATAAATCAATAAATGAAGTGGAAACAAACCAAAAAGACCAATATGACTTCTGAGTAAAAGCACTTTAACCAAATGAAAAATAGTCATTTGATTTAGGTTTAATTTGGAGGATATTTTGTTGGCTGTTAGGTTTAATTCTGAAACTCACAAGTTTGATTTGACTTCCAGCTGGTTACAATGTTTTATCTTTTTAAAATTGACTTAGCGAGTAGCTTAGTACAAAGAAAATTTGACTTTTGAGTTCAGAAAATTAGTGTCCCATTTATTCTAGCATTTTTTAACAGTTTGGTTCAAATTCATATTTGAGACACTGGCAAAACAAAAAGAAAGTCTATAGAGTAATATAATCCAACAATATAAAGACCTGGAATTAGTTAAGAATTTAAATATGATTATGGTTGGTTCTTTTGTATTATATCTACATTTTTATGCCTTAAATAGTAACAATATATCAGAGCTTCATAAAGAAAAGTGACAGGCAGATCCTTTATGTATTCAGCAAACATATGGTATACTGTGTTGTACTTAGCCTTAGGGTAAGCTGAGATATAGAGAAATCTAATTTTATTCTACCATTCAAGATTTCACAACCTATTTTGGAGATGAGAGTAGTATAAACAATGTCAATAACGTAATGATAATTGCTGTGGTAGCAGAGTGTGTAAAGTGCCATAAGAGCATAGAGGAAAGAACACTAAACCTATGTCAGGACATCAAGGACATCATTCTTGGAAAAATGACTTAAGTCAGATCTTAACAAATGAGCATATTGTGAAGCAGACAGAAAAATAAAAGGACATCTCAGGAAAAAGGAACAGCTTGTACAAATAAATTATGTATTTCAGTGTATCTGAATCATGGGATGGGTGGGGAGAAGAAAAATGGATGTGAAGCTAGAAAAACTAAGAGGTAGCCAGTTCTCAAAGAGCTTTATATGTCATGCCAGAAATTTCATCTTTATGCAAAATACAGTCCATTTACAGTATTTTTTAACAAAAAAGCAAGCCATTGCTGTGTTAGTAATAAATAATACTGTTAATAAGGGCAACTAGTGAAACTGGGCAAAACAACAATAGCTTAAACATGATAGAAGTTTATTTTTCTCCTGGTTTTGAGGAGAAAACCAGAGCTGGTTTGATGATTATACTGAGCTGAGAGACAGAAGGATCATCTGTCACTTGGCTCAACAGTCTTTAGTATATGGTTTATACCCTCACTGTCATGGTCATATGGTAGCTGCTACAGCTCAACCATTATACCAGTGTTCTAGGCAGTAAGAAAGAACAGGAAAAAAAAGGGTGCACCTCTGAGATCTCTGCTTGGCAACTTTATTTGCAAGGAAGTCTGAAAAATCATTTTTTTTAATGATTAATGTGAGTATATTGCTAAGCCTAACTATATAGGGTCTGTTACCAAGTAAAAAAGGGGAAATGGATATTAGGGAGGGAACTAGAGGGCTCTGCTATGATTAGATTTGTTAGAAAGATAATTATAGTTACAAGATGGACTATAGACTGAAGTAGAGACTTACTGAAGTAAGTAGACTAGTGGGATATTTTTTAAGTAATTATGGTAAGAGATGTTAAGCTCCTAAATTAAAGCAGTTCATTGAATGTAGAGATAAGAGATACTGTATTTATTCTTTTTTTTTTTTTTTTTTTTTTTTGAGACAGTCTCACTTTTCTCGCCCAGGCTGGAGTGCAGTAATGTAATCTTGGCCCACTGCAACCTCCATGTCCTGGGTTCAAGTGATTCTCCTGCCTCAGCCTCCCAAGCAGTTGGGATTACAGGCACCCGCCAACATGCCCAGCTACCTTTTGTATTTTTAGTAGAGACGGGGTTTCACCATGCTGGCCAGGCTGATCTCAAACTCCTGACCTCATGTGATATGCCCACCTTGACCTACCAAAGTACTGGGATTACAGAAGTCAGCTGCTGTGCCTGGCAAGAGATACTGTATTCAAGAAATATAATCATGGCCAGCTGCAGTGGCTCATGCCTGTAATCCCAGCACTTTGGGAGGTCGAGGCAGGCAGATGGCTTCAGAGCTCACGACTTCAAGACCAGCCTGGGCAACATGATGAAACCCCATCTCTACAAACAATACAAGATTAGCCAAGCATGGTGGTACATGCCTGTAGTCCCAGCTACTGGGGAGGCTGAAGTGGTAGGATCACTTGAACCCAGGAGGTGGAGGTTGCAGTGAGCCAAGATCACACCACTGCACTCCAGCCTAGGCAACAGGCTTTGTCTCAAAAAAAAAAATTGATAAAATCAGTAGGATTTATTTACTAATTTGATTGATAGTGGTGAAGGAGGCTGGGCACAGTGGCTCATGCCTGTAATCCCAGCACTTTGAGTGGCCGAGGTAGGTGGACCACTTGAGGTTAGGAGTTTGAGACCAGCCTGGCCAACATGATGAAACCCTGTCTCTACTAAAAATACAAAAGTTAGCCAGGCATGATGGTGGTGCCTGTAATCCCAATTACTTGGGAGGCTGAGGCAGGAGAATTGCTTAAAAATCCAGGAGGTGAAGGTCACAGTGAGTTGAGGCCACACCACTGCACTCTAGCCTGAGTGACAGAGTGAGACTCCATCTTTAAAAAAAAGTGGTGGAAAAGAGGGGAGAAGGAAGGAGAACAGTGCCTCTATAAATGAGCAGAAAGCCTTATTTTAAAATTCAATAAATACTTTTTAAATTAATTGATTACTTTGATAGATGCATCCTTTATGATGCGAATATCAGCAGACTATCCCATAGCTTTGCATTCTTCTTCATGTAATCACCAGTTGATTAGGGAAATATATTGTCTCTAGAGTTCATGTTTGAACTAACCTTTACATAAAAACAATGTTTTTGCTTAAACATTTTAAGTAAATTAGAAATATTGTAATAATGGAAAAGTCTTATGACATATTAGCGTTTTAAAGGAGAAAAGAGGAAAATAGTTTTGAAGTGCCCATGAACAGCTAAAGCCAGAAAGCCACCCTGGGCCTTGAGTTATTCATTGTATATTATATACTGTAGATACCATGTAGATAGTATAGTATATTTATAGTATATGATGGAAGGAAAATAATGTCTCCATTTGAGAGGGCTGTAGGAGAATTAATGTCCTTAAAAGACAGCTATGTTTCAATTTGAACAAGAAGGAGAAGACAATATTTAGAGCGAAGTAGGGGAAAATAGAGTATGTTGAGTACCAAAGTGCACAGTGGAAGGCTTTGAGAAAGTAGATATATATAGGACATAGGGTTATATTAAAGGTTGTGCAGGACAGTATATGGATTAGTGTCCATAATAATATATGACCTGAGCAAATTACTTGCCTTCTTTGTGACTTTGTTTCCTCAGTTGTAAAATTCAAACATACCTCATAGGCCGTAGTGAGGGTTAAAATAGTTTATGAGTATTAAGTGCTTAAAAATAAGGCCTGTAACTGTCAGTGCTCAGTAAATGTTAGTTGGTGTTTTTGTTGTTCCCCTTTTCTTCATAGGAATATTTACAAATTGTGTCAGAAATGTATGGGACTAGGAGATCAAATATAGGGGAGTTTGCATGCCAGGATGAAGAGCCTGGACATTTCTCAAAGTCTCTTTTTTCTGATAAATATTCTTAAAATTGGTGATGAAAACTTTGAGGTAACACATTCTCTTTTGGAAATTGGATGTCAAAATTTAAAGTATTTACACTATTCTGAAAATATTTTCTTTTTACAAAAGTTTTAAAGTAATATTTTATCATTGACCAATTAAATAATATATAAAGAGACCATTGAAGATAAAGTGATTCTGTACTATTTGATCTTTATTATCTCTAGTTTTCCAAAAACCAGTTCCTCCATTAGAAGAGGCCCTCACACAAATTCAGGAATCCAACTTAAAATCAGAAACAAACCTTCCCTTTTCCCATAGACCAACAGTACACTGGAGGTAAGTAATTTATGATAATTGTACATAATTATTAACAATAATTGTATAACCATCTAGTTGCTGTGCTTATCAACCTTTTCATCAGTTACTCCTCATCTCTGTTTTAAAGTTTATTCTTTTATTTTCACAGATTAAATTGAGGTAGAGTAGAATGTAAATTGCTCCAAGAATAGGTCAGAATTCCAATTTGTTGTCCTAAAGTCTTTGGTATTACAAAATACTATGTATGTTACATAATTTTATGTGGAACATACCATCAAAACTCTTTTTAAATATTGATACAGATATTTTGATTAAAATATTAATATCTTTACTTAAAAGAGAAAATTATGTTGAATTGTAATACATTTAGGCAAAAAGAGTAACTTTATGGTAGAAATGGGTTTTTCCTCACTGAAAATCTTTCCTGGATGTCTTGAGAAGACTACAGAGTCTCCTGGTTCTTCTACAGGATGGCATAAGTGAATCATCTAGAAGTAATAGGATGGACCAATCAACCACTGGGTACTCTCAGACATCCGTATCTTCCATTTATTTATTCCAAATGTTTGTTGACATTGTAAGAATTGTAAGAAGATATGGAGAAGTATGTATTATTGTAAAATATAATCCCTAGGGTATAATCTAAAAGATAAGTGAAATGGTGCTTCAGAAATATAGAATAATACCAAATGAGTAATTACAATAATATTTAAAATTCATTTATATAAATGCATCTATTATGTTGATATTTTACCTGTGCATAATGTTACTCTATTTTTAGAATATCTGTGGTCAATAGTTCCCTTGATTAGGACTAGGAACAAGTAAATGTATCCTCTCAATCCTAATTAGAGTTCAGGAAAGACCTCATGGGACAGAGAATTCTTCAGCAAAGCTTTGAAGAAAATAGTCGTTAATTGGAACAAGTGAGCGAATGGCATTTTAGACAGAGAGATGGGCATGTGCAAAAGCCAAGCGCAATCGAAGGCATTGTATACTCTACGAGTAAGAGTATGTGTAGATAACAGAATGCAAAATACAGATGGCTTTGCTAGAGACAAGATTTTAGAGATCAATGCATCTGTATGCCAAGAAATATTAACTTTATTTTGATTGTTTAAGAGGAGTTCGTGAATAAGTTTAGGCAAATTAGTAATAAGATGAAATTTCCTTTTTAAACATATTATTCCAATCCATTGTGAACAATTGTGGATAATGGATTGAAAGCTGGGGATATTTCAATAAATGTAGAAATTATATAGCCTAGAACTCAAGAGAAAGATTTGGGCTAAATATATTTGAAGCCAAGGTAATGGATATGGTGAACCATGGAGAATATGTGTGTGATGAGCACTGAAGAACAGCAACATTTAAGGAAGTGGAAAAAGAAGAGAAGCTTGCAAACAGAATGGCTAGAATGGCTCATATAGGACTAGGAGAGATCAGTATCATAGAAACTAGGGAAGGCTATATTTTCATGGGAAAAACATAGTTTACAGAGATCAAATGGCTTCTCAAGAATCAGATACATAATGTCTATCAGTCAGGATCATGGCAGGAAACAGAAAGCACACTTAAAAGAGGTGACTGAGAGCTTAAGGAACTACAAAACCAACAAAGGATAGTAAAGCACCCCAGAACTGACACAAAGTCAGTATTACCAATACAGAACTAAACCAAAAAAAAGCTATACAGTAGAAGACGGAGCCTGGACAGGTCCTGTGGTCCTAGAGAGCGAAATGTAAGCCACTGCTAAACCAAGCCCAGCAGGGAGGAAGTCAGAGGAATAATTATCAAAAACCTCTTTCTTCTGTCACCCTCCTTTCTCCTTCTGGTAACTTCCACTGGCCAAACTCAGCCATAAATCAAAGAGCAAGGGATAATTCAGTCTCTTGGAGAAGAGTCAAGTAGAGGAATGTGGCAAATGAATCTGGAGGGGCAAAGAGAATATCCAGCATAGAAGCAATGTGTCCACTGTATTTACAACAAAAAAGTTACTGGCAACTTTTGTCAGACCAATTTCAGTGGAGTGGTGGGGACAGAAAATAAATGGCTATAAGTTGAAACATGAAAAGCAAAAAGCTTTAGTTTGACTGTGAAAGTAAAAGAGTGATAGGACAATAGCCAATAGACATGTAAGGCCAATAGATGGCTTTTCCCTTGAGAGATCTTTTGATGTTTCAATATATGAATATTAAAGTAATAAGCAACAGAATTGCAGTCTAGAAAGATACAGTAGGATAAAATTGTAAGTACTTATTCTGTGTTAGACATTGATTAGTATGGGTTATACATATGAATGAAATACAATCCTCTACCTAGCAAGGGTTCAAAATTACATTATAATACTGTTTGTTGCTCTTTACAATATAATACACATGTAATACTGTATAATGGGGATTGTTACAGAAATACTAGCAAAGTAATAAAGAAGGACAACATTGAAGGTAGAAAGTAATCTTAAAGAATGAGTAAGAGGCCAGGCACAGTGGCTCACGCCTGTAATCCCAGCACTTTGGGAGGCCGAGGTGGGTGGATCACGAGGTCAAGAGATCGAGACCATCCTGGTCAACATGGTGAAACCCTGTTTCTACTAAAAATACAAAAAATTAGCTGGGCATGGTGGCGCGTGCCTGTAATCCCAGCTACTCAGGAGGCTGAGGCAGGAGAATTTCCTGAACCCAGGAGGCAGAGGTTGCGGTGAGCCAAGATCGCGCCATTGCACTCCAGCCTGGGTAACAAGAGTGAAACTCCATCTCAAAAAAAAAAAAAAAAAGAATGAGTAAGATTTATCAGAGAAGCATGTGTTGGGTTTACACATGTTTACACATTTTACAATGTTGTGAAAGGCACAGACCACTGAGAAAATAAAACTTATTCAGAGAGACAGGACTATTGGATGTATTGTTGATGGGACAGGGGATGATCTAGAAAAAGGGATAGATCCTTACTGCCTAAACCAGAACAGTACTATTTTGTATAGTGAAGAAAGGATGGATCTGACAATAAAAGGTTTTGAGTGGTGAGAGGATGAGAGAGATGAAAGAATGAAGATAATGTGCTTTCACATTGCAGAGAAGTAGCATAAAGAAATAGGAGTTTAGGCCGGGCACAGTAGCTCAAGCCTGTAATCCCAGCACTTTGGGAGGCCGAGGCAGATGTATCACGAGGTCAAGAGATCGAGACCATCCTGGTCAACATGGTGAAACCCGTCTCTACTAAAAATACAAAAAATTAGCTGGGCATGGTGGCGTGTGCCTGTAGTCCCAGCTACTCAGGAAGCTAAGGCAGGAGAATTGCCTGAACCCAGGAGGCAGAGGTTGCAGTGAGCCGAGATCACACCATTGCACTCCAGCCTGGGTAACAAGAGCAAAACTCCATCACAAAAAAAAAAAAAAAAAAAAAAAGAAAGAAAAAAATAGGAGTTTAAGGATGTTGATCAAATAGAAGTATAAGAAATAAAGTATAGTCTGGGCATAGTGGCTCACACCTGTAATTTCAGGCTGAGTAAGGAGAATCGATGGAGGCCAGGAGTTCAAGACCAACCTGGACAATATAGCAAGACCCCATCTCTACACACACACAAAATGTAAAAAGTAGCTGGACATGCTGGCACACACCTGTAGTTCTAGCTACTCAAGGAGATGACATAGACGGATCACTTGATCCCAGGAGTTGGAGCTGCAGTGAGCTATGATCACACCACTGCACTCCAGCCTGGATAACAGAGTGAAATCCTGTCTCTAAAGAAAAAGGAGAAGGAAAAGGAAGAAGAAAAGTTGAGGAAGAGGAAGAAAAATTAAGAGAATAGACAGAATAGAAGCAGAAAGAAAAGATATTTTATGAAAGGAATAGATGAGTTTGGTATATGATGGGATAAAAGAAATGAAAAAAAGCAAAAAAAAAAAGCAAAAACAGCTGAAATTTTGGGTCTTGATGATTAAGGGAATGTGATTAACTTTTTTAAATTCCCTTTGAGCCTTCTTAATTGAGGAGATTAATATCCATGTACTAATGTGTAAAAACAATTTAGCCAAAGATGAGGTGAGAGGCCAAGGCTATTGAAATAGATTTGAAAGTTATGATTGTATATTTTGTTGCTTAATTTTCATGCGCACTTTTGTACCCCAGCCATGTTGTAATATTCTGAAGGACAGTGTCTCAGTCTTAACATATGCAGGTATTTCTTATAGTGCTTAATTCAGTGCTATCATGTTGGAGGTATTCAATAAATATTTTGAATGGAAAAATACCACTGACATAAATGAACACTTCTCAAAATGTATAAAAATGACCTAAAGTTGGATAGATGAGGAGGATATTCATCTGAGACAAATGCTGGGAAGAAACTTCAACCCAGAAGGAATACTAGCATGTGAAAAGGCATAGAATCATAAAAGGCATGTTGTGTTAAGGGAGCCACAAGTAGCTCACTTTGGCTAATGTTACAGTGAGAAGACAGTTGTGAGCAGTTAGGTTGGAAAGGAAGCCATGAGTTAAATCATGAAGAGCCTTGTTAAGGATTTTGTTTTAAAAACAATTACTGCAAGATTTGAAGCAAATACACAATATTTATATGTTGACAATATTGCCAGAATGGAAAAGAATGGGGGAACACCAAAAGTTGAAAAATCAGGTAAAATGGCACTTTAGTTGATGAAAATGATGACTTCTTGAGAGCTATTTAGAAGTTAGAATCAATATGCTTTGATAACTCTTTAAGACCTGAAATGCTTAGAAGAGTCAAAGATGTCTACAGAGATTAGGTCAGTGAATAAGTGAAAACATTTATCAAAATAAAGACTATGAGGTTAAGAGGGCAGATCTCATGTTAAGTGTTCTTCCCACAGTAAAAACAAAACAAAAAAAACTGATGAATATGAGAGAAGAATAAACAGATATAGGGGAGGGAGTAACTGGAAAAATGATATATTGTGAGTTTAAGACACTTAAGAGATATTCAAGAGCCAATTTCTTATAGTTAGAAATCTGCATCATGAATATAGATATGGCAGTCA